CCAGCTTGTCGTCAGGCTCCAGCTGAACATCATCCCCGACACCATTCGCTACAGACTCGCTGTCGAAAGTCACCGGATGGGATTCAAGTTGAGAGTTTGGAATTTCCAGCTGGCCCGAATTAGACTCGGAGTCATCGGACTGATCATCAGAACTTTGACCCGATTCGAGAGTTTTTGCTTGGCCCGGAGCAGAGTTCTGACTGGTTCTCGTCCTCGCCGGATCATCTGCGATTGTCGTCAAAGCCGTGCTCTCTTCCCAAGTCCTGATTCCAGGACAGAGGTCCCATTGATTCGAGCCCACATCATAGACACGTTGATAGGGCTCATAATCTTTCCACACACTGACAGCAAATGAATGTGTTATCGGTCTGCGTATCAAAAAGCCGTCATAAGCATTCCACATGAAAACCTGTGTGTTCTTCGAACTCGGACCCAGTCCTTGCATCTTCGTGACACGCTCTTGTCGTTTTTTAAGCTGTGCCTTCTCCTCCTCCGCGGAATTGATCGCCGTGTTGTGTCTGGTGCGCCAGAGAAAAAATCTTGATAACTCTCGCCGAATCTTTGGCCGCTATTCGGATCAACCGGCGGCATTTCCCGCGGCGGCTTCTTTGGCAGTTCCTCAGCTTGAGCGCACGTTGCATAGAAATCAGCATTGCGGAATACTCCAAATCGGCGCCTAGCGTTGTCGATGAATGTCCATTCCATGATTGCATCTTGGCCACTAAGATTGCGAACTTTCTGTATGTGCTCTGATTGGACAGAAAGGTGGTAACATCGCATGGAGGGAAGAGCATTGAACAACGGGATCGGTGCTGTTCAAGAAGAAATACAAGGGTACACGAATGTCATTCTTCAATATCATGGAGAATAGCCAATCCAGAGACCGAGCTTTCTCGATTGCTGCTGGGCTTGAAAAGTCTAAGATACCTCCAATGGGTCCGCGGCAATCTGGAAAACGACTTCTTCTAGTTCGTCCCACAGTGCCGCATCCACTTGACTCTCCTTGATATAGCGTTCGCGCCATCCTGGCATTTTAATGTCATCGAGAACTAGAGTCAATAATGTGATAGCCCCAAGCAGCGGGCGAAAAGCATGGAGAGATTGCAAGACAGCTTTGTGTAGATCTTGTGGGGATTCAAGGTCAAAGTGTTGTGTATACCCGAATGTTGATGGTAGAGAGTGCCACGGACGAACGTTAGATTTGAGTTCCGTCGGAGCCTTTGGCGCTTTCATAACATTTTGATCTAACCAAGTCAAGGTCGTTCGCAAAAAACCCTCGAGTCGGAGCCATTGATCACGCAAGTCACCTTTCATACCCCTAACTCGAACGTGCTGCGCACCACGAAAATGCGGGACAACAAGCTCCTCTTGCGGGGTTGCACCGATCTGAAAGTCCAGCGGCTTCAATAGAGTATTGTGCAAGATGTGGAAACGAGGCATAAATAACAAGTGAGGTAGGTCCATATTAAGCCAGGCCGTTTTGGCCATCTCGCCGTTAAGCGTTTTGTTCGAGGAAGTGGGAGGGGCTTGCCGCTGACTGGGGATGGAGTAAATGACAGCCCGATCGCCGTTGAACACGAAAAAAAATTGCGGGCTTATTTCGCACAAGACCAGTATAATGTTTGGGGAGGTCTTGATAACAGAGGTTAACGTCGAGTACCGGTTTGGTGGGAGCTAAGTTACCTTTGGTCGCTCCTCCTCCTCATCAAGCGCTGAGAGGTAGCAGCCGCACAAATGAATTTCCGGACGTCGACATTTCGCATGACGCCATGAATGGTTGTTACCCGGACGTCTTAGCGTCTGAGCTAGTCTTGAGATCTGAGAAACGGCCCGACCCGACGTCTTAGCGTCTAAGCCAGCAACAAGAGAGGAAGGAAGAGAGTATCCAGCAACAAGAAAGAGAGTGTTCAATGTCGTCGTGCCGCCGCTCGCACAACTTGAGCACGGTGAGAATGTGCTTGCTGCCAACTGTCAGACATGAGAAACGAACAGTGTTCAGCGTGTACCTTCGCAACACGATCCAGACTGAGAAAATGGCAGAATCGTGACCTTGGTGCGATGAAGTCTGATGAGGTGTGACGATAGGTGACGATGTGACGACTCGGAAGCGGTCCCTTCCGATTGTTAGTTCGTTCCTTGACACTGCGAGCTGTTGGCGAGCTGTATCCACCAGCCGTGACGGTTTACACACTTTAAAGCCCTTTCGCGAAACTTTCGGACGTTGCGAGCTGTATCCACCAGCCGTGACGGTTTACACAGTACTTTAAAGCCCTTTCGCGAAACTCTCGGACGTTGCGAGCTGTATCCACCAGCCGTGACGGTTTACACTGTACTTCAGACGCCGCGAGGTGCCCCCCTTCCGACCAACTTCTTTGAAACGATGCGAATCTACCAGCCGCAGTCGCATGTCCTGCACAAGATCCACGAAACACCAAGAAACCTTCAACTTGGAGAGCGGCAAGTTCTTGGCTTATGGGAGCAATGCGATCCTCATTTTTGGACAGTTATGAAAATGTGGATTGGACTGCGGGATGGGCCTTGTCCGATGAGACGGGCAGTCTCTATGACTGCCATTATCTTCACATAGCGCCGACGCGGGAGGTCAAGGAATCAACCCGACCTGAACTTCCCCCAACTTCGCCAGCCAAGGTTGACGCAGAGTAGCCTGTAATTACTTATGGACCAAAAGAAATAATTGTCGTGAAATAAATGGACAGCGCATCAAGTTGATGCCTCCATCTTTTCGCATGCCTCGACTCCCCAACGTTGTGCGACACACATATTTTGACGACGCCGCTGAGGAGGAATTCAACCACCTACAAGTTCATTATTCTCTGGATGGACAGCGCGTGCTGAGCCAGCAGACAAATCCATCGCCTAAAAAAAAGGCTCGCCTTAATCAAGAGGTCATTGAAACTCAACCTGAACTCGCTGACTGGATGCCATTCCCAGATGCGCAACTGGAGGACGTAAGAGAGCTGGTGGATACTGTGTCGTCGTTGGAGATTCAACTGGAAGAAGAATCGACATTGAAGAGAAAACGTTATGCATCGGTCGGTTGATACTACGACTTTATACAGAAGCTCATTCCCTTAGGACGATCCTATGGCAATGTGGCAACCACTGACGGCTCTCTTTCTGGAGGAAATGCTACGAAGAGACGGTCTCGGAAACCCTAACGCATGCCAAGAATGTGTGAATTGTCAAGCCAATCATATGGAGGAGACGGGGCTCCGTTTTTTTCGCTGCAAGCAATGTGGGGACGGACTCCATTGTGAGACCTGTGTGGAAGCCGCTCATCAGAAATTGCCGCTCCATGAATTGCAGGTATTTATTTCTTCACCGATTTTGTTACTTGTTTACCTAGCTTGTTTAGGAATGGACGGGTCACTTCTGGACGAAGGCCTCCTTGTTTTATGCCGGACCCATCCAGCATGGAGCTCGTGGTTTGGCGGGCTGTTATCAACTTGGTCATGACGGTGCCCCATGCCCATTCCCCAGTAACCGTCGACCGTTGGTGGTCATCGATGTCAATGGCATTTTTACTTTGGACGTGCAGTACTGTGGCTGCGTGAATCCGTTCGGATTCGACCCCGTCAGACAATTGCTTCGAAATGCGTGGTATCCGGCCACGACAACAAACCCTGCGACCTGTGCAACCTTCAACGTTTTGGAGACATTTCGCTTCCCTGCGCTCCATCGCAAACATCAATGTCCAAGACTATGTGCGCACGTTGGAGAAGTTGACGGATTCAACCGGACTGGAAAAGGTCCCAGATCGTCGCGTTGCTTTCGGTCGAATGGCTCGACAATACAGCTATCTTAAAATGATGAAGCGTGGAGGTCGCGGGCATGAAGCCAATGGAATTGTAACTACGCCGCCAGGGGCGTTGGCTGTGCGTTGCTGGGCATGCCCAGATGCTTCTCGTAACTTGCCTTCCGGATGGGACAAGGTTCCGGAGTCGAAGGCGTGAGTAGCTATTTAATCAAACTATTCTTGACCAACAAATGTGCAGATACTTGTATAAGCTCATGTTGGCATTCGATGCCAATTTCCGCCTGAAGAACAAGCTTCGTGCTGGAGAACGCATGGATCCGGCGTTGACCGATGGCTTGGGATACTTCGTGACGATCTGGACCATATAAAGAACATATCAAAACGCTCGTTGACGAAAAAGATGTCAGTGCGCTCTAGTCGAATCTATTCCATGTTAATGCGATACTTCAGGTCCAGGCTTGTGCTGCGTTTGCTGCTCTTTTGCAGAAGGAGACCAAATTGACCACTGGCCTGAGAGTTTCTGGCGTAGTTGGTTGTGTCTGTGCAGCACGGCCGGCCTAGACGTCGTCGAGGGATGGGAGACCTTCAACGTGGAGAACGGCAAGTTGCTTGATGCCAGGAACAACTTGGATACTAACTCTTTGTGCCAGCTATGGAAACGTGGATTGGACCGTGCTATCAACTCTGTCAGACGAGGAAGTTCTGTGGGTCTTGCTTGCATACGACATCGTATGTCACTGGCAAGATATACTTTCCTGAGCGTCGCACGAATGAAGACAACGGGCGTGGATATCGAAGAGATATTCACCGAATTGGACCGTATTCGCCTGCAATACGGACTGCCGGTCTGGCATGCTGAAGCTCATGACCCCAAATGTCGAATTCAGTTTGCGCTTAGGTACTTGTTGGGTGTTGGAAAGACGGATGGGGAAAGCACCGGCGTTTGTGGAGCCTACTCAATCCCGCAAGTTGGTCGACAAAGGAAATGGGAGAAGGCGCCCGTCATGATGTCCTGGAGGACAAGATCGACCTGATTAATTTTGAGAAAAACAGGAGCATGGGTCAGTTAAGGTTTCTTTGAGAGTTTAAGCTCACTATTTGCAAGGGCGGACACTTGCAAGACGTTTGATTGTCGCTGTAGCAGAGCGTCAAAGGCAGGGCATTGAATTCCAGGAGCTGGACGACAGCGTTCCTAAAAAAAAAACGACGTGAATGGGCCAAGATGATGGATGCCTGGTATAAGGATAACACCCAGACGAATCCATTTGAAGTCCAGGGTGGGAAGCTCGGTATGCATGACGTTGAATACCTGTTGTAGCATTGATGACCTGTCTCGACAGCCGGGCCTAGTGAACGCGAAATAAGTGAAGAGTTGAAACGAGCTGAGGTGGAAGATGCACGAGCCGGAATCAAACCTTTGCTGGAAGGTAAAATGACCATAACAGCGTTCATCAGAGCGGGTATGCAGCTTCAGGCCATCCAGTATGTCAAAGTCTTCATTCCACACACTCTATTCACTATCCCCAGGCGTCGTATACGGACTGCTCTGAAGGCAAAAAAGTCAGCAGATCAAGCGAGCCAGATACAAGAATTACGTCTATCTCTGATCAAACAAATGCGCACCTTCGAAAAACTTCAACTAACTTACATGCCTGGGGTTCAGGGTCTTCGACGCAGCGCGGTATAAATTGGACGCGGAGGACGCGCAACCGGAAAACGCAAAGCTTTATCTTCCGTCACAGTTAACCGCGGAAGAGTGTCGACAAGTCAGCATGGCGGACTTGATTGAGACCGAAGCGAAATTGCGTCGGGGACAGTGTGCAGATGCACTGGCTGCCTTACGAGGGAGGCTTCATTCGGCAACACATGATTTGGTTTCTGGGGAAAACATGGTGGGGCAACGTGCAAGAAACGCTCCGTCACTCTAATGGCTCGGATGGAAGAAGGTGTAACGAAGGCCGCTGCCAAATATACTGAAGGCTACGAGGCTCTCGTTCACCTCAAAGGCAAACGTTACGCTCCCGAAGTTTCAAAAATTGGACAAGGCCCATTTGAACACTCGTATCGAAATCGAGAGTGACGAAGATGCAGCAAGAAGCTTACGAACAGCAGACGGATCGCGACCTACGAGAGAGGAGACTGCTGCAAAAAAGAAGAAAACCAAGACGGCGCCAATTTCCTGGATTTGGGCAGCAGGCGGGCAGGCCGACGGGGTTGAACTTCATGACTGTGAGTAACTATGGCTTGTTGACCATTTGCTTTCGGTTGAACGTGGTATCATAGCTATGTGTGTCGAGTGGGCAAAAGCACATGCACGGAAGGAACGCTGGAACGAGGAGGTTGAATTGTTGCGAGAGGAGATGAAGCGGGTCATGCGATCATTGAAGTGGGAGGCTTCAGAATGGCAAAAACGAGCCGACGAAGTTCGTTCAGACGTTGATGGAACGACGGCGGCTGGAATCCGAGCTTATGCGCTGCGTAACGTGTACCTGCATACTGAATTTATAGTGCGCTTTCGAGAGGAGTGGGACAAAACAATGGGAGCTGCTGTCCGTCATTGGGCAGCAGAGGAGGAGCGGGAAATATTAGAGGGAACATTTATGGCAGAGGGAATGTAGAGAACAATGTTAAAATTGTATGATTCGGACGAAATCAGTCGTAATGATGATATCAAAGCTGCAGGATAAAGCGGAGTTCGGAGATCAGCGGCAAGGAAGCACGGAAACGGGTGGGGTTCGAGTGTTGTCAGAGACCTGGCAACACACAGGGATGATGGAATCGGATTTTCTGGCAGTTCCCGGGGATGATTGAAACAGGCTACAGCCACGGGTGCTACGGGAGAGGGCCGACTGGACAGGGCGCGCGAACAATGACAGTAAACAAAAAGGGATGAGGATACCCGAACGCCGAGGCCCGAGTAGACGGGGAATCCCGGTTGATGTCGCGAAGAACGACCAACGAGTCGCCGAAGCCTAATCCAGGTCCATCATGTCGAAGCTCAGGCCGTCCTGACGGCACACGTTCGCATACACCTCTCGTTCAGCGGCCCGACGCTCTAAACCCTCCGGCGTTTCCCAGAATCCCGACCTCTCTCCTTCGGACCGGTGGATAGCCAGAAGAATGGCGCCCAGATAGCGGCATACGTCGGCGACGTCCCGCGAGGCGGTCAGGGACTCCAGCGAGTTCACCAACCGGAGGTCTGCGTCCAGGGAACGCATCGACGACAACTCCGCGAGTGCGCGGGTCCGAGCATCCGGGAAGCCCCCGTCGGCCGAATGAACCGCCCACTGTTGCAGCAACAGCACGCCCAACGGCGACAAGCGCTGATCGGCGGGTACCGACGGGTCCCCATGCAACCGGCGAGACTCGGCAATGGCCCGATCCAAGTCCCATCCCTCCCGAACCACAGGGAGACTCGAGGGAACGAAGGCACCTGGAAACCCATGGTGGGATAAGAAGGAGGGTGGGTCTTACCCGCAGGAACGGATGGCGGGGACGATGCCTCTCCTAATGAGCGATCCGCGACAGGGGAGGCCGGCCGGCGGAAAGTGGGGCGAGGCCTCGGCGGGGGGCCGACTTGACGATGGTGGGGGAGACGGCGAGCGGGTGCGAACTCGTTTTCGCACGGGGGACGGGGAGGAGTCCCGAGAAGACGCTGACGAAAGGACGACCGGGCGGCGACGACGGCCCGAAGAAGGCCCGACCGTCGGGGTCGGGCTCCGCCCGAACCGATCCTCGTTTGAACGGGGCAAATAGGAGAACAAGAAGGATCGGTACGGGACCGATGCGGACAGCCCGACTAGATCAGCGAAGCGGGGATCGGGACGGAGCAGCGCAAACTCGCCATCCTCGACTTGACGCTCCCAAAACTCGAAGGAAAAATTGTGCAGATCCGCGGGAGCGAGCCTTGTACGCATCTGCAAAAGACCGCCAACGCAGACAGGCACGGTGGAGCGGGCTGCACGCGTCACAAGCCCGACGCACGGGACCAGGGAGTTTCTGGGGAGAACTATCTGGGACGCCCCACACGGTGCACAAACGATCATGAGCGATGCAATACTCGCAGCGAGGGGAAAGGGATCGGATCACTGTTCCCGGTTGACGAGGGGGCTCCCCTCGGAAAAGCGCCAGCTGTCCAGTAGATTCAAGACGAGGGGCCAAGGGGTGCCGAAATCCCGTTGCAACGGGGCAGGCGACACGGCTGGGGAGAAGGAAGGGTCGAGGGCATCCGTAGCCGACTCGTGTTCAGAGGCGTCGATCCCCACCGAAGACAAACGACGAGGGCCGGCGATCACCTCCACCTCCGAATCCGAACCCGAGTCGGAAGGTAGGAAAAGCAGGGTCGAAACCGGGGGGCACCATCCCGTTCCACGTCAACCTCCATCGAAGACGAAGACCGCGCCCGAACCACCGGAGTAGGGGGAACGCGCTTCATAACCGGGGCCGTCGACTCGGAACCCTCCGGATCACTCTCGGGGCTCGGAAATTGATCATCCAACCAGGCCGCCAACGGGAGGAAGCTGAACGAAACACCCGCTTCCGCCTCATCCAACGAGGGGCCGCCCGAGAAGGCAAACTCCTCCCGAGGATCAGGCAAGGAAACCACCCGGATGAAGGACGACCACCGGTCGGCATGAAGGAACGGCGGCACGAGAGATGGAGGGAGAGGACCCAGTAGTCGGGCCAGCGTATCGGGCCGAGCTACGTTCTCTTCGGGAAACACGCGAAAAGCGGCCACGTGGGCTAGGACGAGGAATCGGTCTGAGACGAGGGGGGAGGCCGACGGAAGCGGCGCAAGACAAGGCGTGAAGGATGAGGCGCTGAACGGAGCCAGTCAGCCACGCGGCCGAAAGCGCACAGAGAAGGAGACATACCACCCATCGCCACAGACGGGGAAAAAACGAATCACTGGGCGAAGCAGCGTCGGCAGCGAGGAGGTGCGCAAGGAGGCCACGGCCCAGTTGTCCAAACAAAGGGCGAACATCCTGAAGAGAGCCGTCCTCGCGACGCCAGACGAAGGAGGAGGGGAACGCATCGAACAGAACACCGAAATAGAGGTGATGGGGCCCGAAGACAAGCGGCTGCCACAGACCGGCCTTCATTAGGCGGTCGAATTCGCACTGCCACAAGATTCGGCGGGAAGACGACAGCTGCGGGGGCGCTGCGGGGGGGACTGGGAGAGCGGGAGCTCGATGTGAACGGACTACGGGGGCCAACAGAGGGAGCAGCTTGGAGGAATAGTCGTCGGCTTGAGACGGGGGCAGGTCCTCCAACAGGCGCAGGGGCTCGAACGACTCCCGGTACGACGGGTCTCGCCCCTTGCGCGATGGGCCAGGAAGCAGGAAACTCGACGAGAGACATAGAGGCGAAGCGGACGAACAGACGACCCGGCTCTGAGGACGGGGGAACCATCTGAGAGCTGAGAGGGGGCAATAACCCGGAGCAGTACAAGTTGGGGGACGACATAAAGAGGATTAGAAGGGGAAGCCCCGGCTTATATGGGGGAACGAACGCGCTCTATATCGAACTCGACCGAGGCGCGCAGCACAGCCTACTCGCAAGCAATACGAACAAAGGACGCGCAACTGAATTGAAAAAGACCTACGCTATACCGCACGTGACCGCGGTGAAACACATGATGGACAGGAAGAATCGATCTGCGGACGCCACAAGGCGCCAGAAGCCGCGGGAGATTAAAATGCGCAGCCGAAGCTTAGCTTAAGCTTATGGGCTGGATGGAATTTACGATTGGAAGGACGAGCTAGAGTCAAAATTAAAAACCCGAGAAACCGGGGCGACCGAGCCACGCCGACTCGAGACGAGTCGTTCCTAGGGAGGGGGTGATGTCACGGATAAGACCCGGCCCGTCCGCTCCGGCGCTGGTGTCGGGCCATTGCGGGCCCGTAACACGCAGCACGTGACGACGGGAACATGCGCCCCAGTAGGAGGGAACCACACGTGGGAAGCACGTGACCGAGAACGACGCGTCGAGCCGTCGCCCGAGCCCAACTCGACACCAGGGGAATGAGGAGGAGTGCTAGGAGGTCAGGAGTAGCGCCTGGCCCGCAAGGGATGTGCGATCGTCCCCTCTGCGGCCAGGAACGGGAGCGAGGAGGAGGAGGAGAGGCCAGGGTGTCCGATCACCCCCTTTGCGGGCCCGCGTATATAATGCGCGATAGTGTACCCTGTACTCTATCGCTTAGATCGTCTGAAGAACTACCTTACTCCGTGCGAGGAGACGCTATCGACTCATCGGGCCCGACACGACCCGATTCGAACCTTCGACCACCGACTACGGCAGGGGACCGAGTTCACGGGCCCTTTCGGTTTCGATCTACCCCGCCCCGCCGTACTTGCGGGCCCGACTATCCGTCTGTTCTGTTCCGGGCGCGCGTTCTTAGGAGAAGTCCTTGCACGGCCCGACCCGCAGTCTGACACCTACGATCTCTACCTGCTGGACCTCTTAGGTGTCTCCAACCTATGTCAGCGTTCGGGCTTACGTTCGGATGGCTGAGCCTCGCCATGGCTCCGCTTCCCACTCCGCCACCACGGCCCCCGTCATCGGGTCTCCCTTTGGGTGAGGCCTACTGCCGTTAAGGCTCGTGCCTACCGCAGTGCCCCAGGCTGCACGCCCTCACACCCACCTCTCTGGAGACGTCCGGGGACGTCTCCGAGTGACCCTCCTGTCGCTACCCTCCAGTGGTCATGGCTGGCCGCCATTCCCATTGGTCCTCTCCGACACTCCCGGCCCTTGGGCTAGACCAGACTCCTTCCCTTTCCGCTCCACGCCTTCCCTCTCCGTTTCCGGCCATCACGTCACGGTCACACACCCGGAGTCGATTCCGATTCCGGTTCCGATTCCGGTTGTCACGGTCACGGTCACAAGCGGAGACGCTCAGAGGCAGCCTGGACCTCCCGAAGCCCTTCTTAGGCCTTCTAAGGATGCCTGGGCTCCTCCCTTGGCATCACGGTCCCAAACCTGCCTCTCCGGAGCTTCGAGGGCTACTCGACACTCACCTAGGGTCCATTAGCGACACCTGACTTCTCCTATGCGTCATTCGTCGCTATGCAGTCACTCTATCATTACTCCGGTCACTAGTATATAGTAGTGCACCTGAGCAGAGGGCTCCTTGGCTTGTTCTCTAAGGATTCCCCCTCTGCTCAGGTGAGTCTGTAGCGTCCCTTCCTGTTGTAGTAGTTCACTAAGGATTCCCCCTCTGCTCAGGACTCTGATTTCGAGCCTCGCGAGGTTGCCCTTACAGCAGAACAAGCCCACAAATACGGACCTCCCAACTCCCTGCCAGGGCCCGCAGTCTCTGACGCCCCCCTGCCGGTAACCTGGAGGTGGCCTCCGGAGGGGCTGCATGCAGGAGGATTCTTGGTGGATTGCGACAGATGGCTCCGTCCCGGCCCCACCCGACCTTGCGCTGCACAGCCCCAGCCCCCCTTCGCACCCTATATAGCTCATTCTTTGCAAAAGATGTGGGCTGAGCTGCAAGACTCTAATGCAAAAGATGTGAAACAGGGTTTAATTATTGAATTTCTCAATGGAATTGAAAGATATGACTAAGCTAAAAATTGATATAGTCATATAAATCACCTTTTCTTCAGGCCGAAT